TCCCATCTACATACACCATGAGCAGTGAATAACTATAAAAGAGCAGCGACTCATCTGGTCTCATCATGTTTCAGATAAAGGACACAGACATCTTTTGCATCTAGCTATCTATATATTTAACTTTTGGATTTCTTCCACAACTACTGCTTCTTAAGAGCGTGGTAAAAGTTAAGTTCCTTTCCTTTCTGTTCATGACCAGGCTTTGCACACATTAGACACTCTTTGAACTAATTCTCCTTATATAATGTGTGCTTATATATTTTTGCATGTATATAAACACACATCATATAATATATGAATGCACAGGACCTACAGATTGCATGTCAAAGTCCTTTAATAAAACAACCCTCTGATGAGAATAGTGAACAGTTTTCTTTAATGTCAGCTGAACCCTTTTTTTCCCTTGATTCTTACTTGAATAAAAATTGTGTTTTGCTTGACTGAACTGAAAGGGCATCGACCACAATGCCACAGGCATAAAAAGTGGGTTTCTGTGTGTGTGTGTGTGTGTGTGTGTGTGTGTGTGTGCACTTCACATGACCTCCTTCTTTCATATCTTTCTTGTCCTGCTCATACCTCTGTCACTGTATTTACAGCACACACAAACGTAGGCTCGTGCAGTTTTTGTTCCCCCTTTTTATTCCTGTTTTGGGGCCCACAGATGGGTGGAGCGGTGTTTGTTCAAGCAGTCATTTAGTGCTATTATGCAAAATGTTTCAACCTTGCGTGCAACTTCCGCTGTAGTTGCAAGGTTTTTGGATGAGTGCGTGCATGGAGGCCTTATTGTGGAGGGATTCAGCTTTTAATACGGCATTCCTGTGACTTCATATCAGACTTTTTAACTTCATTTATCCGACTTTCCGTCTTTCTGCCTGACGTCATTTAGTGACGGTAAAGTAAAGCAACCACAACTCTTGAGCACAGTGTGTAGGAAACATGTAAGCGCAGACAGAGGGCCCATTCTTATACAAAGTGGGCAGGGTGCAGTGACGCTGTGACCAAAACACACACTTACACAGAGAGGAGGAGGAGGAGGAGGAGGAAAAGGAGGAGGATGAAACAAGGGTAGAGAGGGAAACAGGAACAGAAAGTGACGATGTCAGAGTGAGGGGGACCAGACCAGAGCTGAAGCCAGATGCCAAAACAGAAACAACAGAAGTTTGAGCAGCTAACTGGATTAGACAAGACGCGAGACCTGACCTGCTACTTCACAAGTGCCTGCGGGGTAAGGTTCTGCTTTCAATGAGATCTTAACTGCCACTGAATACTTTGATACAGCTGTGGCTTAAGTTGGTATTTGCTGATGTTTCTTGTTGTTTGATTAAACTCAGGTAAAATTGCTGCTTTTGGGACAATCATCATTCATCAAAAAAAAAAAAAGAAGCTTGCTTTTGGCTGGGGTTAGATTAGATTTCAGCCAAAAGCGTCTGTAATACACTCTCGTCTCCTTAAAACAAACCATCCCACTCAAACGTCTGTTTCTAAGAACTTTCATTTTTTCCCTCACTTTAGTTTTAAAGGGCTGACTAACTTACTGATGATGTTTATTAGCTTCATCTGGCTGCCCCCTCCCTTTTCTTACTGGCAGTGTGACCTCCACTTTGCTCATTTCATTCCAGTTAGGACTGAGCTGACACATCTGACATGTAATGGGCTTGTGCACTTGCTTTTGTTCACTGTCAGGCATATCAGCGGGCCTGTTGCTACGACAGCAAAACAGCTGCACTTTGAGATCAAACACAGATCATGTTTTCTGCAGAAAAAAAAAATCTAGAGGTTTAGCTGTTTACCGGTTCTTGACTCAGGTCAAAACAAACACGCCCAAGCGCTGTGAATTAATGCTGACTGATGAGCGAACTGCTCTGACTCGGTGCTCGGGGCAAGTCATTAAAGATTCCTGCCATGCCTTCTGTCGCAACTTTGTCTTTTAGGTCACGCGTGTTCCTTAAAAAAGCAGCAGGGGCTAACTGTGTGCAATCATAACATTTTTTCTCAGCCCCTTCCTGGCTTTGTGTGGCCCAGAAAGGGCCTTTTCCTGTGTACGAATGCCTCAAGAAGAAGACAAAGCCATGAGAAAGTGAAACAGCCGGTGAGAGTCTCTGAAAGAATGTTGACATGAGTGAGACTCATTTTAATTTATTTTTAGTAAAAATAAAGCTACAATCTATTTAAAATAGCCATTAAGTTAGGAACAAGTACCGGCTCACATGGATGTTGCCAACATTGTGAACAGAGTCATCTCACAGTACTGCACAGAAACGGCCTGCTGAGTACGAAACAACAGTGGCAATCAGTTTGTTGTTACTTCTTACTGGATTAATTCCCTTAGCACGTTGATGAAATGACACGTAGATCATAAAGCATTGTATTTCCTCTGCTAGTGTTTCAACTCTAAGTTTAATCTCAAAGTGGGCTCTTTGTTCCTGGCCAGAGGCTATAATTATCATAACACTCAGTGACTTGTCCATTCTATTTAATGACTTTCCTACTGATTCATTGTGAGTCACTTCTTTTCTACCGGCTAGAACACACCTCCGTGCTTCACTCCCGATCTCTGTCCCTCTCCGACAAACTTATTGCTCAGCGGCTCTGGCTCGCCGCGGTGGCAGAGTTTTCATAATGGCGGGATGATCAGAGCGTGCACAGAGGTGCTGCAGCTCAGCCAAGCTCATCACAACAACATGTACCTGCAGCCAATAATCAGGAAAGATGTGGCAACGACGCCATCGCTCTCAGGAATATGCACGGGTTTCCATGTCGCCTGCAGGCAGCCTTTGTTCCAAACGTGGTGCACATTTTTGAAATAAGGCACAATCCTGTGCACAGCTTTTATGTGCTGCTGCTATATGGAGATGAATATTAGGTGGAGTTATTAAACCATCGCAGCAGAACGAGATAACGACGCACGCTGCCCTTGTTTTTCTTCTCATCAGAGGAGCACTGAGTGGCATTAAACTCACTGTCAGTCTGTGCACTGTGTGCATTTTACTTCATTAGTAGACCCAAATTTCCCCACTTCAGCAAAATCTAGATTAGTTTTTTCTTAAATTTGCCGGTGACCTCATTTGCTTCTCTTTTTTTTTTTTTATGAACAAACCAAAACTGCACAAACTAACATGAAGAGTCTCTAATAACCCAATATGAAATCAAGCACAGTTTCTCATGCGGTGGTTTGGATCACTTCTATTTTCTGAAATGGGATTGCTCTTTCTGATCTCTCACTTAAACATTTCAGGTGCTACTTAGCTTTAAGTGCTTAGCTTCCTGTTGAGCAAATGAACAGGAGGGAAGTTAGCGGGCTGTCTGTGGGTAAACTAATTTCACACATGAGGCACAACGCACGGTGGAAGCCGTGCCTATTTGCTCTCCACTTGCAGGTGCATCTTCATCTCTCTTTCTCTGCATACGAAGCAACCAAATGTGAGATGAAAATCTTTTTCCTTCCTGCGAACAGAATACAAAGAAGCCCTGTAGCCGAAAGCTACAGAGACTCTGAGGAGCGTATTTGAGTCAAATGGTGTTTGAAAAACTATAGATGCTTAACAGCATTTAAATAAAAATGTTGCCTCAAGGCTTCAGGCTTAATCAAATAGCTTTTTAGTGTCAGAGTAAGGAACAATATGACTTTTATTTCCATGTAGGACTGACAATTGAAGTTCCTTACATCAAGGATTCCTATTTGGGAGAGCTGTTAGGGGGTGGTTTTATTTGAGGCCAGCATAAAATTGTTAAATTCTGACATTTAGGAATACTTAGGCGACATTCCATCCATCTCCTGCTTTGGGATCCATGAGACCCGTATATTCATGAGCCTCCTATAGCAAATCTTTCTCTGGCCTACCTTTCTCCCACTTCACTTCTTCTTTTTTTTTTTCTGACACTGTCACGTTCTCCATCTCAGCGGGATTCTTAGGAAGATTGGTTACCTCTGTCTCGGTCTCGCCTTCCCTCAGACACAATCTCCCTCCATTTCTTCCACTCCTTCTTACTCTCTCTCTCTCTTCGCCGCTGTCTTCCTCAGTGGGACTCTTAGAGAGAGAGAGAGCTGCCCTGAATCATGAATGCCCCTCTGCAATATTAATGAAGGGAAAGCTGAAAAAAATCCGAAGCTGACATTGACAAGATGGGGGGTGGGGTGCGGGAGTAGAGATGTTAAAGACAGAGGCAGAAAGATAGATTGGGAGGCAGGGAAAGAGTGAGGGAGACCGGTTTTCTGCCTGGACCCAAATTTTCTGTTCATGTTAACCTTCTTTTTTTTTTTTTGCAGATACATCCACATTAAGTCACTTCTCTACAGCTCGTCAGACTGAAAGTTTGAAAGGGGAGGAGGACAAGAGGAAACTCAAGAAAACAATTACTGGAATGTCGACCTGGATAAAGAAACTTCCGCTTTCCTCGAGATCAGAATCCTCATATTGAAAGCCTTCTCTAACCAAGTGACCTCTTGGTTTTGTGGATTTGTTTAAATGGGCCTTGGCCTTCTCCAAAGGAGCACTTTAAAGCAGAAAGCATCAGTGACGTTTGCTTCTGGTGTTTCCATTTAACACACAGAGCAAAGCCCTCGTTGGATGGACGAGAGTCTCAGGGAAACGATTTCATTTTGGGCAGTTTTTTAACCTTATTCCAACCCAAAGGGCTCAGAGGGACATTATATTATTATCATTTTAGTACCCCAGCATCCTAACATGCACATTTGCTGTCTCACAACTACTTCAACTCTCTAAAGGATTTAGCAAAACTTTTCCAACAGTGAGTTAGTCTCATTTAAAGGGCTGACACGCCGGTATCCTAAGCCATGGATGGAAAAACTGACAGCATTCAGGATTTTTTCAACCAACTGTGGCACTTTGCTACAGAAAAACACAACCAGGGGGCCTATAACACAGTCTGCCTGGTGGTCCTCCTGACGCTTCCCCTGCTTGTTCTCCTCACAACAGTGGTGGTGTGCTGTCACTGCTGTTGCTGTCGTCATGCCAACAGCTGCTGTTGTTGTTGCTGCGGCGACGCCGTGTCGTCTTCAAGGTCAGAAACAAAGAAGAAAAAAAATTCTGCCAATACCGAAGACTTGTGGATCTCGGTCAAGCCAGGGCCGATGACGCCCGACCGGGTCGCTCTGGCCATGGAGTAAATATCCCTTCTTTGACCTGAGACTGCTGACGAGTTTATGGAAAGGAGCTGATGGAGCATCCCGAAAAGCATAAACCGTGGACGCTCTTGGACTATGCTGAGCTGATATCCAAACAAAAAGGATGAACTTCACCTAGTAGCGGGCACAGATGTGGTTGAAATATGTAAAGAGTGTATATATTGTTGTCACTTTTCATTCATAAGATGTCGTGCGGTGGTTTTATGACAATGTTTACAGCATTTTTATGAGCATTTTTTTAGTGTTTGGTACATAAAGGAAGAAATATGAAGACAGAAGCACATATATAACTGCAAGTGTGTGTGTGTGTGTGTGTGTGCGTGTGTGTGTGTGTGTAAGAGAAGCACAGTGTTATTGAGAGCACTTTGTTCTTAGAGCTCCCATGTGAAATTCAGTGCGTGTGTATTTGGGAGAGAGAGCCAATTTAGGGTCTGCCCAGTGCTCAGAAAGCTGCATTACTCACATTCAGGCTGCAATGCAGACTGTGATTGACTCTCAATTTCTAAATCAAAAGGCACTGACAATCTAAAAAGCTGAACTCACTGCCTGCAGAAAGAAACTTTCTTCATTCCGACATTTTTCCCCCGTTTCTTGAAGATGTTACAGCATTGTCACAGGAGTGGAACTTCACTTTCATTGGGCTTTTTTGTGTTTTTTTTTATTGCACTATTCAGGGCCAAATAAGCATTAATAAAAAAGACTATTTGTAAAAGATAAAGTGAGACCCTCCCACCCAAAAGACAAACAAACAACACTGGAAACTAGAAACTAGATACTCATACCAATGGAGGTGTTAGCAGTGATGACTAGCCATGTATTTATGGAAATTTTGAACATTTATTCCTCTAAAACGTATGAATATGACTGAAAGAGTTGGTTTAAGTTGGTTAAGAGCAGATCCATATGCACTTTTAATATTCTGTTTTGAAGTCATCACACAGAAAATTTGGAAGGAGGACCAACAACACACTTAAGCCCCAATGCCTAACTACAAATGCGATCTCCTGCCTTTTGCCCCCGTATCTGGGGGTGTTGGGGCTTAAGAGGTTAAACTGGCATTAAGTTTGTTTGTAATCACTTTTGGCTAACTTCCTAGCACGGATGTGGACAATTTCAGATTGTCAAAAGTGTGTTTCATTAAAACAAACAAATCGCTGTCTAAGCATACATCTTTGCATATTTCATCATGCTGAGAGCTTCCCCTACACTTGTGATTGTGCCTTATAACTGCAAAATTATGTGCATTTCTTTAAAAAGTTTGATGAGTGCTTACATGGATACTGCTGGTAAACATTTGAACATACAGTTCACATTTATTGCCATTCTGTTGAGATACAAACATAATGCTGATTAATTTGATCAAGTCCTCACTATTCACGTGTATACAATGTTTTTAGAAGTGGGTTTGAACAGTATTCAAAGTATTTTTTTTGTTTTAGCTTAATTAAATTCACATACTTTTCAAAAATTCCAGTAAAAAGAAACTGAAATAATCAAACGATTTGGGCTTCGAGTGGATTGTGCCTGAAGGCTTCTTGTTTTGAAAGTGTACGACATCTCAAGGCCCAATTAAGCAAAAGCGTCTCAGCAGTATCATCATCTTTATGCATTAGCTTATTTTGGCACTAAGTTGATCTTCTTGCTCAAGTGCTGCTGGGAAAACCGGCCCCACTCATTTCATTACAGCTCAGACAGATACGTCCCCGTGTGGAAATCTGGGTTTGTCTCTTCTGCTTTATGTTCGCAGAGAGAAACTATACGTGTTGAGTTTAATATGAAAGGTTGCCTTGCAAAACACAGGCAACGTATGATGACTAATAATTGCAAGAGTGAGACGTTTAACAAGAAAACACACTGCCATGTTCGGGGTTTTTTGCCGAGCACGTCATTGTGGTTTGTGTTTGTCAAAGTAAAATTTACAGTTTTTACTGGTTTGTTAAATGCTGACTGTGGCAGGCTTCTTACAACATAAATAAAAATGTAAAATGATGTTAAAGACTGAACAAAATTAAAGGAATAGTTTGACCTGTTCAGAGTTATTCTTACTACTTTTACTTTCTCTGTGAGAGTTACGTGATTCAGCTTCATGTCTGCATGCTAAATATACACCTGCTGTCGGCAGCTGGTTAGCTTTTCTTATTACAAAGACAAAGAGAAAACAGCTTGTCTGGCTCTGTGCAAAGGTAAGACAGTAATTACTAAAGAAGTGATCAGTAATTGTGAAACAAGAATTCACAGGTTACTTGGTTTTTTATGTGGTAACCTATTCTCGTTGACCAGAAGAGACTTTTAGAGGTACAAAGTGTTTTTTATGCAATTTGGTAAACAGTTGAGCAGTTACTTCCTGTTTTCTGTCATTTGCTAACCTCTCCTAGTACTTTAAACTGAAAGGATATTGAAGCTTAATCCAAGGATATCCCCTTAGATACCAGAATATGAGTCACGCATTCAGTAAGATCCATAAACAAATATAAGCACTGATTCTAGAAAATGTAAACTGTATGTCCAGCATGGGTGCTACTGTGATGCTCCCTGTTGGTGTGAGGACTTCCAGAGTTCTCAATATGCTCAGTTAATGAAGGAGTTAATGAAGCTGTAGCTGTCTCATGAGGTGGTATGAGTCAGTGACCACTCCGGATATTTTTCCACTGTAAACTTTAATCAGTCCAAGTACACAATACACATAATGGTCAATCCCGTCACGTACTGCAGTGTTGCCAACT